TTTGAGGGAGGAGAGAAGGTTTCATGTTGGACTCGAGGTTTCTTGGTCACTGTGATGGAGAATATAAGTTAGCGCTGGGTTGTACTAAAATGCAGAAATGCAACTATAAACTTATGCAGGGATATTCAGAAGCTTTCAATGCGACAGATGAGGGTTGAACTTCATGTAAACCGGCCTGGAGTCTTGTTAATCGAGTTTGGGCAGCCACCCACATAGACATGGGCCCTCGAATCCCGATGCTTATTTGAGGGCTGAAATCGTACCCAGAGTCTCCCGCGAGGCAGATTTATGGACGTCTAACATGGGCAAGGATAATTCCGATCGAGGAGGCGAAGTTGATAGTCCTGCATAGGTAAGTAATAGTAGCATAGATAGATGATCGTAAATTTGGCCAATGCCAAAATTAGGGCATGGGAGGGAGATCATTTTGTTATATGATTGCCTGGAGTTTGGGGGTAACTGGTTCGGTATAATTGTGGCCTATGGGAAATGAAATTCAAGATAAAGAAAGCCCTGGGTGCAAAGAAGAACCGTCCCAAACTTAAGGGACGGTTGTTCTTCTAATTAAAGGGGTATATGTCTTATAGTACTGAGAAAAGGATAACAGCGGTACATAGTTATTCAATTCTAGATGCCTACTTCATGATACATCGTTGAAAATGGCCTTCTTATAAAAGAAGTTTGGGTTTGTCTGTACTACAAGACATCCAGAAAACTATCATTATTAATCCAAGAAAGCGAATGGTTTGGATTGATGTGACATCCTTAGCATCGTGGAGACCCCACTAATCTATCTAAATGAATGGATGAATACTACACAATAGCATTCTGGAAAGACCCTTGCAGAATGATTCAAATACCGTGAATAAACCCTAAGACCCGTTAGAATGGAGGCAGTTGGTATCTATTTCACAGGCAAAATCCCAGTGTGAGTGATCCATACACTGCCATATTGGTGGACGTATTCCGAGATGGTCTTTCCTCCTTTTTGATCTTGCAGGTAGAGTTGAATGTTGGGATATGCGTCTAGTAGGAACGTGACACCTGCAAGCTTCGAACCAGAATTCACTTTCTTTTCAGAGACATTGGTAGTCCAATCATCGTCTCCTGCGTCCCACGCGCTTTCGACGATGTAGTGTTCCGAGTTCAGATGATACACACGGTGGCTATCGTCACCGAATGTAACTGCCACTATGGGTGTGTTTGCTTCATCATTTCTGACCTTGAGCTTGCCGTCTTTCCAGCCGCTGCCTTCGGCAATCTTCTCAATGATGAAGGATTCGGTCGATTGGTAGAAAAGTCTTCCGGTCTGTTAGTATTGGAACCTATTTGAAAGATTTTGTTCGCCTTACTGGTGTTTCCCGGTGGCCGGAGCAACAATACCGGTGTCGTTAAACCCGGCCCCAAAGTTGTAGGTAAGTTTCCATTCGTTGTCTAGAAGCGAGCACACGGTGAGAAAGTTATGCTCGAGATGAGACTGTGTTGGGGGTTTCCATCTACTCACTGGCATGCTGATACTCATGGATCGAGGTATCAACCAGCTGGGCGTATACGCGCGGCTCCCCGTTGATATATCGTGCAGCTAGGCTTGTAGTACGGGAGACTGAGAAACCGGCCGCCCCGAGACTACCTTCCTTCCATTTATCACCATCGTAGAATTGCTCGTGGAGGATATCTCCGATCAAATAGTATAGTCGAATATGTTTTGAATGTCAGACCAATAGCCAGAGTGCCAAGGGTGAAGGGTATTATAATGCTATACTTTGTTGAGGCTCTCATATGCAACCGCAATCGGCGAGCTGTCTTCTAGTTGGACAACCCTGATTCCATTGCGCCATCCATGCGTCCGATCATAAGTAGCTTCACGGATCCATCCGCTTTGCTCTTGGAAGTATACACGCTTCTCACCATCGCCGTATGCCACGGCTAGCGCAGTGTCTAATATTAAAAATATTAGTACGGTAATCATAGGGTCATTGTAAGTCTAGTGAATGTGAAGATTTCTTTCGTTCACTTACCAGGTTTTATAACCGGAATGTCCATTGTTCTAGGGAGCTAGTAGTATAGGGCTGATAACAAGCCTAGATTCTCTGGAAGTAGGTTGTGGGGAATTCGTAATATATAGACAAATATCTAGGTTAAGGGCTTTTAAAGACATCAGATCTGTCGTCACAGAGAGCAGGCATCTCACGCTCGTAAGAGTAGGCAATAGGTAATGATTGGTGGAATGACCATTGCCAAAATTATTGATGCAGTTCGCCATATCTCGTAGTACAAGTACATATGGACTGCAGTGACGCGTAACAATAACTCCGTTTCCCCGCTATATAGAGTGTATCGTGACACGTACGAGCAATTCCATATGTTGAAAATAGGAGTCTCGAGCACTCCGTTCAGCTTGGATCTCGATCCAAAGACATAGATCATATGGGATGAAGTATGAGCAGGTCGGTCCATTGCATCAAAGTAGCAACGAAGTTACGTGCTGTGTTATAACATACATATTAGACTGATGAAAGGAACGTGGTGTTAGTTAGCTTATAGTTACCTGTGTGTGACGAGCCTTTTTATCACTACCCGTTAGCTACGTCACGAACGGCTCCATGCCTATACCTAGCTAGGTATTGGCCTTCCATAAACCCTTCTTCTCCATAGTGCAATTTCAATACAATTAACCTAGGTAGGTAGGTATCTTCTCACATGCGATGGGCGAACAGCCTAACCCCGCAATACCGTCACATCTTTGTCAAACAGGGTATACACAAGGTATGAAGGCTTGTTCGTGGTATTGTTTTCATCTGGTAGCTATGCTATGACGAGATTATCTAGGTATTTCGAATATCTCTTGCCGAGATATCAATCCAATAAAGGGCTTGATGTGCGGCGATTTTTGGATGGATTCACGGGTGGTCCCGTCTTCACGGCGCCGTCGTACCTGAAGCTTGGATTTGTCAGCGCCCCCATTTCTTTCTCGGGGCTTTCTTGTTGTTTTTGTAATGTATAGAAGGCAGATCTGTTCTTCCTGTACCAGTGGACCTCCACACAGTCGCGGACGAATAGAATGAAGTGTACCAATCTTTCATAGGGTCAGTTGAAGTAACTGTAAGAATCAGACAAAGTAAACCTTACGAGATGATCACGGCGCTGAAACTAGCTATGACGTTCAAACCTAGCCATAGGTTTCCATTGGCAATGTATTTGGGAACGGGGGTCTCATCTCTACCATCGTAATAATCGTGCCACGAATAAGAGTCGAAAGCGAGAGAGATCAGAATGGCCGAGATGGCGATGCCTGCCAAGGAGAGGACGAGTTCGAATCCGAGAGAGATTTGAGGACGAATTCCGGTCTTTCGCATCGTGGCGCACATCACGACATACTCGGTGAAGTCGTACAGGAGTACTGTGGCAGCCTGATTTCGGATCTCTTTAGCTCTCGCTATCCTAGTTATGAGTGATGCTAATAGGTAAACGTACTAGTGGGGTGGCTAGGAGCGGGTAAGCACCGAATCCCTTGGGTGTTGCAAATCCAGCCAGGCCTACGCCGAGGAAAGGAAGGCAGAGCGTAGTTGATATGATGCGTAAAGCAAATCTAGCATTGTCCCATGCCGGCTGGTCTTGTCGTTCAGTTATCGTGTGAGGAGCGTCTGGAACAGCATATTCGGTATCCGCGATGGACGCAGGTCTATTCGAAGCGGGAGAAGACATCGTTGTAGTTTGTTTGTTAGGTACGGAATTATTGGAGCTTCACACTTTGATGACTGTAACACACCCGCTCTGATCTAGCACTTCATTCAACCTCATATTCTATCGTCTCTTTAAGGTATGCATCCCGGTTTCTTGCTGCCTAAATACCTCAGACGATAGAGTAACACTGAACACTGACAATACCTAACCATGCTATTGCCAATACGAGCTGCTCGGCGTTGAGATCTGCACAGAATGGATTCTTTGGGCTATGCAAACTATGTTTTAGATCTCGAGGCTCCTCCCCGTTACGATAGAGATCCATTTTTATGATTGGTACTGGGTTCACTCGCACCTACTTCCCACACGGCAGTTCTGATCCCCAACCACGTGAAACCAATCAAGTAGAGGTCTGACGAGGGCAATTTGAGAGTCTTGGCTTGTTGATCTTGGTCCAGGCAACGAAATAAACTGAAAGCTCACTCGACACCCCCCTGACTAATGGACGTGTTGGTGTATGCATTGCCTGCATGACAGGGTGTCTGTGGCAGTAGTGTTTTGCCCCACACTCCCGTTGGTGATATTATCTGATGGCATCGGGGAAATGAGGCCATACCATACTTGATTCAGAATATCAATCGCCATTTAGGTTAGCAGAATGTTACGATACGAGCGCGAGACGAATTCAGTGAATTTTTATTTTTGATACACAGCTAACATATCGATTGAATGGAAAAGGAAAATACTCCCCCCCCTTTTTTTTTTCCTTTTTGATCACAAAGCAAGTTCCATTCGTGACATGAGAACGAGTGGTGTGGTGACTTACTGTGGACCGGTTCACGGCTCTCGATTCAGCGACGGGGCACCACAGTAGATGGAAGAATTGGTTGTTTGAGCGGTTGAGACGGTGGGGCCGGGATATAATGTCGGTGCCTAGAGAGAAGATTCAAGGATTAATTGCGGTAGTGCAATTGGTGCCCCGTCGGGTTGCTTCTTTTAGAACTACATATGACTAGTATGTAGCTGGAGGAATGTTAGTTACAGTCAATTGAATGTATGAAGTATTATGAAGTATTATGAAGAGTGGGATTGGTCTTGCCATGCGGGCGAGTTTGGGTCGCACCTTCGAGTTTTCTCAAAGACACGTGGGTGGATTAAGCAAATGTTATTATTTATCATCTATCACATACCGACCAAAAAATTAAACGAAACCAAAAAAATTTATTAGGAAAAAGGAAAAAGATAAAGAAAGCAAAAGGGCAGAAGGGGTGGGTAGTGATAATAATACTTGATAAAAAGTATCTGCAAAAAATATGTGCCTCCACACCGGATTGAACGATGGACCTCAGCATGTCTTGTGTTTTGTGTTTTGTCTTCGGTCGACTGTATGTTGTCTTCCTAGGACTACAAGTGCTGCGCTCTACCACTGAGCTATAAAGGCTAATGCAGCTGTCATTTGATGCTGAAGACTGTCCAAAGCAGCAATAAGTACCCACAGACCTTGGGAGACGGAGAATAGTACTAGACTAGTACTAGTATGCAACCACGTGACTTCGCACAACTATTAGTGTTAGATCTTTAAACTTTAGTTTTGATAGAAACGATATCGGTTTCCCTCTGCTCTACATCTGGGACCTACGTAATATTTAAGTAGTATGCAGTTCAACCTATCATTACTTCACACTTCAAAATTGGGTTTGCAAATGAGTACTACGTAGCTGCTGTGTTATAAGGTACTAGGTAGTTGTTGGTCTAGGTGTTGGAGTTGGGGCTAGTCACGTTCAGCAAGATCATAGGCACTGGATGCATTTGGTACTGCAGAATTGAGCGGCCAAGGTAACTCTTCTCGTCGTGGTTAGGTATCTAGGTGACTACGTTACGAAGTACGTTCAGGACAATTACATGTATAGCAATAACCAGACACTGTGATATTGACGCCTTGTCCCATGAATAGGATCATCTAGAGTCCGAGAGATTTAGCAATCGGATACTCAAGTCTAAAGATGCCTTATTGCCCAATCTCGCCAAGATGAGCGATCCATACCCCCACCAACATTCTCCAGCGTGACATAAATTCTTGGGAGTTATTTCTGCGCAGAAGCCTGTATGCAGAGATGTTGGATGGGTCGTTCGACCGATTTGTTCCATTTTGACATAGAGTCGGAAACACATCGCCGCAGCGGTACCGCGACAGCAAATTTGTTTCGGGTATCGGTTCGATGTGCATTACACTTCTTGTGTGATTTTAGTCGAGGCCATGAAGACGTATCGTATACGACAGTGCCTTTCTCACATCGAAGCAATCCCGGCTAGTCCGATTGTACAAGGTCTTCAGACGTCGTAAACATTCGTTCGTATATGGTGAAGTGGTTAACTGATTGCGTCAGTCACTGCAGTTGACAGACTGTTCATGACGACGTACTCATTTAAATATACGACGACCGCCAGCTCTCACGGCAAACCGTTCTGTCCCGTTCTGTACTTGTTGATTCCAGACCATCAAGCTGCCTAGCGATCCGTTATGCTCTGCAGCTACTCTGTAGCGTCTGTATGCTTCGCGGAGGTGGTCAGGTCGTAAAGGAGCTTCTCTGCGAAACTGGGATAGCTCGCCCGTAGGTTCCAGTTCGTCGTTAGGAAGGTCGGTTTGTTTCTCGCCTAGAGCTACCCATTCTTCCTGAATCTCAAGTGCGCTCTCAATAAGATCGCCGACGTATTGCTTCAGCACGGATTGCATCATCTGATGAACGTTGACCGGGCAGGATTGCGATGTAACGCTGTTGATGTGCTGCGAAAACGATTAGTCGTGCTGCGCCTTAAAATATGAGCAACACAGAGCATATGATATGACTTACCCGCTTGACATCGGCCGGTCGGAAAGTTTGGCGATGCCATGTCTCGTAGCGGGCGAATTGAACAGGGTCGAACTGCTCTTTCAAGAAGGCATTGAGTTCCTGCTGTTCCTTGATTTGTTGTGCCGTACGAGCAGTAGAGACACTGGCCATGTTCTCGGGAATTTCGAACTCCTCTTCCTTATCCTTTTCTACCTCGACATCATCGCCGCCGTCATGACCACTGGCGACGCTCTGGGCGGCAGTCGCGCGACCTCCTGCGACGCTGGGTGACCCGTGTCGCATAGCTTCTGCGGCGGCTTCATTTGCGCGTTCGGCTTTCGACTTCCTACCTCGTTTCTTCCTACCGGGCGCGCCGCTCGCTTGGCTTCCGCTGACGAAACTCATGTTATCCACACTGGGAGATCTCTTGAAGGAGGGCGAATAAGTTCGGCCTTGGGTTTGTGATTCGTCAGGTGGGAATGATGTTTGTCGGAGAGGATGCGCTGAACTTGTAGAGGCCGCTGACATGATAGATGCCTTACGCCGCTTCATGGAGGGTGCTTGTGCTGATAGATCAATGCTAGTAGAAGCGCGCTTTTTCGATGGTAAGGGTGCGCTAGAGTATGGCGGAGAACCCGCAGGCGAATAGGCGTGTGGAGGAGATGCCATTTTGTTCAGAGCGCCTTAGTTTAATCAAGCGCACTGGAAATGGTTGATGGCGCGACGGATTCGAGCTAACGCGTTGCTAGGGGACAGATAGGAAGGAGATGGGTTGTATGGATGACAGATGTAGGAAGACTCGATTTTGGGGATTTGATGTATCTCTCATTCCAGATGATGGCGTCGCGAGAACCGGTGGTTGGAAGAAGTGGAAGAAGTGGAAGAAGTAGAGAGATGATTAAATGAATTTGTTGTTGCATTTGTTGTAACTCGAACTTGAAAATGCTAAGTCAGGAAAGTCTACAGCTTGTACAGTGTTGGGTGACGAGTACGGAAGAGCTTGAGCCACAAGGTTAGGTACACCGTACAGTATGAAAAAGTAAGTTAGCCACACCAAAAAGCCACACAGTCTGATGTACAGTAACATTGGTACTTTAATGTATTGTACCTTTGTATTTGCAGCTGTGCTCCTGCCAGGTGCTTACACTCTATTTAGTGGAACTGGAGGGGCAATTTGGGGCAATTACCCCGCGGACTTTCTGAATAGATGCAGAAGACCCTATCAGACCGATAGCGGTCCATTGAACACTCGGGAGTTACATAATACTCGGGTGCGTGTAAGCTTTGAAATTAAATTTTACTAAAATTTTACGAACCAATTGAGCTGAAAGTGACTCGATGTTTTATCACATCCATGATTCTTTAGGCGATGCGGCTTTTGAATTTGCATTGTTCAATATTCCTACATAAGCCACGCTGGTTTTCCCCGAGTACATGTGCCTCAAAGGATCAATCTAATTGGGAATCCCAAACTTTGTTTTTCCGCTCCGCCAGATGCCAATTTCAATTGTAGATCGCGAGTTCGAGTTTCAAGTTCCAGGTTACTCAAATTATCTCATAACCCATAACTCATAACCAGGTTGTTAACACCGAACTGGAACAATTCGTCCATCCAATTTTCACGAAATCACGGAACGAAGAATCCCTCCAACCACAACCCGTCACTTAAAGCCATACATATGCATCATATGTCCGAAACCCCAACCATTCCTTTACATTAATTAAAGTTGCAGCCATATGGAAAGCAAAATGGCGCACTTCAACGAACCAAAACGGAATAATCGAGACTTGCTGGTTCCTTCTCCTAGCAATTCTACTACTGGTGTTTCCGACGTCGACGACATTGTGAATAGCAACGAGAAACCAGCGCGCGATGGAAGTAGAGACTCGAGAAGTGCTAGAAGGAGACAGAGAAAGAGGAGAGCAAAAGACGGTGGAATATCCGAAATAAATGGTCACAACAACTCAGGACAGAGGAGAAACAGCATAAGCAAGGCAGCTAGAGATCCTAGGGATGAGCCGCCGAAGAAAAAAGTCAAGAAGGTTAAGCCGGAAGTATCCGAAGGCACCGTCACACGGTCTCCAAGCCCCGTCATTGACTTTGATGGCTTAAGCCGTCCGAGTACGTAAGCAAAATATCCGACAGGGTGCTTTTGCTGACATAATGACATAATTCAGGTCGTGGAACACGAGAGCGACTCGAGGAGAGCTCCGAACAGGCGGCACAGAGACTTGAGAAAATGAAAGGGGCCGTCAGAACCATCCTGGAATGTGTCGGCGAAGACCCCGATAGAGAGGGTGTGCTGGATACACCCGCGAGATATGCGAAGGCAATGTTGTTCTTCACCAAAGGGTATCAGCAGAATGTCAAAGATATCGTCAACAACGCTATCTTCCACGAAAATCATAATGAGATGGTCATCGTCAAGGATATTGAGATATTCAGCCTTTGCGAACATCACCTGGTCCCTTTCAACGGGAAGGTTAGTCTAAAAAAAAATCAGGTTTCAACATGACACCTCATTCTAACTTCGCATTAGATGCACATTGGATACATCCCCAAAAATAACGTCATAGGTATCTCAAAGTTGCCACGAATCGCTGAGATGTTCAGCCGTCGGCTGCAAGTCCAGGAACGATTGACGAGAGAAGTTGCCAATGCCATCATGGAGGTCCTGAAACCTCAGGGGGTGGCTGTTGTCATGGAATCAAGCCATCTCTGCATGGTTATGCGAGGAGTTGAAAAGACTACTACGAGCACCATCACCAGCTGTGTGCTTGGTTGCTTTGAAAAGAAAGAGAAGACGAGGAACGAATTTCTAAGTCTGGTTGGGCTGAACAGAGGATACAGGTAAATATCATATCAAACAAGGTCAACATGACGTAACGTATATACGAGCATGCATATCAGGCGTTATGGGTATAGAGTACGAGACCTCAACATCAAACTCGTCTTGGGAACGGAATGGTTATCGCATTTAACATTAGAAGGATAGCAAGCTCAACGCATCCAGAAAAGGGTAGCATACGGTGTTGGGGGACAAACTACTACTTCAACATCGACTTTACATACCATCAACTGCATAATTTTCTCACAGAACCCTTTCCCGATATTTACAAGTGTTTGCTACCATATCCCCATATGAAGCGCGCTATTTTCTTATGTGGCACTTACATTAGCTACCCTCATAGCCTCACATGGGCGCTGAACCATGCTAACATCAGGGTCTTTTTCCTAATTCTTCCCCACATCATCTACGCTGACAAGAGAACTTTAGTTTTCAGAGAGTTGAATATATACCTAGTATATAATTGAGAAGTCCTTGGATCAATGCCGCATAGGTAGTACTTATTGCAGAATCTAATTCGTAAGCCAAGATTGACAATACCTATTTATAGCCCCATTTTGAGACCACCAGGCAATTGTCTCGAATATTTCTAAGCAACGGGCATCCGCGGAGGCAAGCCGGTCTGACCAGGAACGTCGGACAAGAACGTCATCCCGTATATCCGGATGGGCGACACAGCTCCTGTGCTACCATATTACCATATTAATTCAGTGATATTCAGGTCCGAAGTGATGACAAATGAGCGTCGGAGTCGGCGCGTA